AGGATTGATATTACATAGCAGTTCAGTACTCTTTTCTTTGTTTCTTTTTGTGTGCTCTTTAATAAAAGATTATACAGGTATGTAATCGCATTGCCACTTTAGCTATCCCCTTAAAACTGTATATTGTTCATGTTGTCCATTTTCCTAATTCATAATAATATATGCAGATATCAATAACATAAGCAGAGTTTCAAACTTAACATTTCTGAATAAAATCAAAGTACATCAATTTCAACTCTATACTTCTAATGTCCCTGCTTCAAGCTCTGAAACATGATTTACTAGTTATTTACTTTTTGTACTTATTTCTCTTTCCTTAACAGGAGTAGATAGGTTTGTCTATCATCCAGGTAACACTCCTCACCAGTCTTTTGAACAGGAGTAGAGGTTTATCCCTTCTTCCATGTTTAGAATTGGGTTCCAAGTTTCTTCTAAAGCCTTTTCCTTCTCTTTCACTTCCAGTGGCCCCTTGCCATTTGTTGACATTATCTCCTAATTTGGGGTGGTGCCTCTTTGTCCTTAACATTCCTTAAAAGAAAAAAATAACAAAAAAACCTCTGTAAGAAGTCAGGGATTGATTTGACATTGTATTTATATTATATACAGTACCCTCACTTCTAAAATAATAAAAAAAAAACTCAATATTTTTCAAATCTGACAAATCCTATGGCTAGAGGAAAGTCTAATGAGAATCTAATCTAGAAAAATTATTCAGAAAATATTTTTCCCCTAGTTTTTTTTACGAGTGGACCAGTTAACCTAAATCATGCCAAAAACCCCAGAAGGGAAATAGAAGAAAATTTCCAAGGTGGCTAGGGTCAAGTAATTTTCCTCAGAAATGATTTTGCACAGAATATTTGATTTTTCTTTTCTCCTGATGTTTTTTTGTTTTATTGTCAGAATGTGGCATCAGGTAATGTGATAGAAATCAAATATCTCTTCAGGTCAGCAGGTGGGTGAGGATAGTGTGGTACATTGCTCCTTGAGGAGAGGGAGGCTATTTTTAGATTTTAACAAGCAGTTGTTGAACAAGCACTTTAAATCTCTTTCCAAATATTTTGTGGGTTCATTTTTTTTTTTTTTTTTTTAAATAAAGAAGTAGTAATTGGTTATCATTTCTTGAAATCTATTTCAGTAGCAAAGAGTGTCTATTTTGAATTAAGTCAAGCCCTGGTCCCAGTAAGGTATGGATTTGAACTAGGTATTTATTGAATCATATGAAGGGAGGCTGACTATGAAGGAGTGATGCTGGAGCTGTGAAATCTTGCATTCATTCATTTCAACCCTTCTTATTAATAACTGCATTTTTTTTCTCTCCAGGTAAACTGACACTTGACTGTTCAAAGAAGACTTCAGAAGTAACTAGTAGAGACTTCTTTTGAAAATGGACAAAATTTGGCATTGTGGTGTTATTAAGTATCTGTAGAAAAGGGTTTAGCCCCAAGGACATTCATGCTGACATGGTGGCTACATTAGGGATAAGACATCCCAGCTTTATCAACAGTGGAAAAAATGAGCAGCTGAATCTTGGAAGATGACCCAAGATCTGGAAGTCCAGTGACTGCCACTACCAAGTAAAACATTTGATCATGTTTGCTTCATAGTGATGAACCATAAATCAAATGAAAGAGTTGAGAATATTCTGCACAATGAACTTGGCATGATGAAGGTTTCTGCTCACTGGGTTCCACATCTTCTGACACCTGATCAAAACTTGACATTGTTTGAAGCAGCTTCAGCTGGTTTCCTTGAATGTTTGCTAACTCAGAATGAGTGTTGGGTTAATTACTTTAAACCAGAGACAATCCCTGCAGTGGAAACACCCCTCCTCATCTACTGCAAAATAGGCCACAATAGGACATCTGCAGGTAAGGTGATGACCTCAGTTTTTTTGGAATGCAAAAGGCATCCTGTTCATTTAATATCTTCAAAAGGGCCACACCATCAATGGAGAGTACTGTGTCAACTTGCTTGGCAGCTACAAAAGCCTATCAAGACCAAATGTCCAGGAAAACTGACAAAAGGGGTCTTGTTTCATCAGGACAATGTTCCAGCACACGAGTCGTTAGTTTCAATGGCTGATGTACATGACTGTGGCTTTGAATTGGTTGTTCACTCTCCCTATTCTCTTGCTTTGACTATTATCTGTTCCCCAACTTGAAAAATCACTTGGCTGGGAACCAGTAATGCAGTGGTGATGACATCATATCTGCTGTTGATAACTTTTTTGACCAAGTGGATGAAGATTCTTCTTTGAAAAGTCAGACGTCAGTTTACCTGGAAATAAACAATGTACTTATTAATAGGAAGAATTGTAATTAATCTATGCAGAATTTCATAGCTCTAGCATCATTCCTTCATAGTCAACCTATGAACTTTTCAGCCCATCTTTCTAACTTCTTAGCAGCATAAACATTGGTGACAACATATATTTAGTGAATTTTAAAGAGAAAATATTACTTGATAGGTTGTATGTCTATGTAAGAGAATGTAAGGATAATATTGTAGACATGTAGTTTCTTCAGGACATAGGCAATCATGGCTCTCCACAACTTTCTGTCTCTTGTGGCTCCTAGTAGTTTTTTCTCTTTTTGATAAGGCTCCCATGCCCTGTTCTGCCACTCATTCACACAAGTCCATCAAATAAGTGACTTCAGACTTTCTACTATGTCTCTTGTGCGCTCCATATGCTCCATGACAAGTAAGTTTTCCTAGTGCTCATTATGTACCCTAGAAATTTTAACTGTATTTTCCTGATTTTGAGTATAAGTGTTCTTTCTGTTGCCATTTTCTTGACTTCCTTGTTGCTTTTCTATACACACTAAGTCTAAGAAAGAAAAAGCTTGTTTTCACACAAGGAAAACCCAAAAACTAAACAGAACTACCTTATCAAACACTTGTAATTATTTTTATATACATATATATATGTTTTTAAAACATGGTAATTTCTGTGTAGTGATGGAACCATATTTTTAAATAAGTAAATTTATTATATATAAGTGAACATTGAAGTTAACATTCAGAGGTAACAGGCTGTTTCATGCTAGGCACAATCGTCAGGCGGCCTGACAATTGCATCTAGCATGAAACAGCCTGTCGCCTCTGAGTGTTAACGTCAATGTTCACTTTTATATTTACATGAGCTCTATCTTGAGCACTTTATTCCATAAATATAGCACACCTTAAAACTATATTTCTTCATATATATATATATATATATATATATATATATAAAGTATGGGTAGGAATTTGACAGAATGATAAGATAAAGAACAAGTAGGAAACAGATCTTAATCTAACATGTTTCAGTTTATTAAAGCTTTGTCAGAGATCAAAATAGAAATGATAAAAAGCAAAGAGACATAAATTAATGGTATGGTTGTGTTTGGCTATTTCTTATTGGTTAAATACGTGTAATGAAGTAACAGATAATTTTCAGATAATATGTGTGAGAAAATATTCTAGACGCTAAACTGTGGTATCAGTTAGTAAGACCCTGCAGGATGTTTTGAGAAATTTTGTTTGGTTAGATTTTTCATTAAAGTATATTTTTGTGTATTTTGTATACATATTGATTTTTTATGTAATCGGAAGAGATAAGTTAGATACATGGATAATGGATCTGTAGAAAAATGATGATGTAATCTTTTTTATACGTGTGTTAATATTTGGTAATATTGCTATAAATATATTTTCATAATATTTTCTCTTTAAAGAGTTATGTTCTTTTTTTGATAAGGCTGGCATTGGGGAAATTAAAGTTATATCCTATGTCATAAGATGAGAGAATTTGAATGTTTATCTAATCACAAATCTTTTTTGTGTTCCTGGATGCCAATCTTTAGATTGTGTGAAGTTATGTTATTGCACTGTAGATGTTTGATTTGATAAACTCTGGCATTTGAATATATATATGTATATCAATAAAGATAAAAGTAAAACTTATCTTAGCCAAAATGTTTTATTTTCCAACAAGTATTTATATACAGAATTAAAAATATTGTTAGTTCTTCAGAATTTTTAAAATTAAAACAGTCATAAATATGATTTAAAAAATTTTGAAAACATCAACATTTTTATTTTTGCTTATAAATACTTGTTGGAAAATTGTCTTTTTACAGATATTTTTTTACTTATATCTGAATTTTTACACATGCACACACACATATATATATATATATATATATATATATATATATATATATGTGTAAAAAATTCCACATATAACTACAATATATCTGTAAAAGGACAATATGAATAAAGACAAAAAGAAAATAATTTTTTTTCTTGAGATTGCCACTATAGAATCTTACCAAAATATAAATCTGCACCTCTGAATTTTTCAAATATCTTCATTCCTGAAAGAATTACTACTTTCCCAAGTCAACATGCATGACTATAAAAATATTAAAAAATTAAAAGAAAACGTTTAAATTCATAACCTTCTGTTATTTAAAATATATATATATATACATATATATAATATGTAAATTTATCCCATACTAAAAGAATTTAAATATTCATAAAAAAGAAATTCAACATCATTTCTTCACTTTCATTTGTTAGACATTAAATTATATCACTTAGCATCTTCCATAAGTTAACTAGAATTTTCAGTAAGCCTGTGAATATTTATGAGCCTCTCTTAAATTTAAAAATTTTGAAAAAATAAAATTTTTACTTTTGTTTATAAATACTTGTTGCAAAATAAAATCCTCACATTTGCCTTAATAAAGTTTGTCTGAGGATGAAACACATTAGCTAGATAAATTTTTCCTCTTGTCTTTATTCATATTGTGTTTTTACAGATATATTCTTATATTCTGAATTTTTACACACGCACTGCATATATATATATATATATATATATATATAATATTTTACGCCTGACAAAAACATGTAAATTACTAAAATCTAATGCAATTTAAAATTCAGAAACTTAAGTGTTGTCACCTAATTTTTTAGAGTTTAAATGTTAACTTTTCAATATAGGCTTGTACCCACATCATTTTGAAACACTGGTTCCCATACGACCACCAAAGTTAAGCTTTGTTGAGCCTAATCTGTACTTAGATGGGTGACCATTTGGGAATACCAGATTCTGTAAGCTTGGATGTGTGGGTGGGCTAACAGATGACGACTTGGAATTGTAAATGAGGGAGCTGAGTTCCAATTCCAGTTGAATTCATTATATTCACTTGCATGTAAATATCATTGGGAAAGGTATGAATCCACCTCTTATTCCCCAGTTATGGGTTAATTAGTGTTATGGTGACCTATCTACATTAAAATGAACTCTTCTTCCTTCATAAATACTAACCTGCAAGACTTCCTAGGCAGGCAGTGTAACCTGACAGTTCGGACGGACACTTCTATCTGCTGACTAATAACACTCTTATTTTGTATATATGTTCTGTTATTTCAATACACTTGTTCAAACTGCCTTCTTCTTTCCATGTCTTTCTTTCTGGCCCCTAATAGGCCACAACAACTTGGCAACAAGGATTTGCGAGGACTACCGGGATTAAAAAGAAGCTCTCCTAAAACACGGACAAATGAGTTATTGTAAAAGAACTACGTATAATTGCCAATTTGTTCTCACAGTGGATGTACAAGAAATATTTTTTATTTTTCGTCACAGTTTTTTCATTTGAAAAGCATCCAGAAAAAAACCCGGAAAAGTAAAACTGGGGAAAAAAAAAAAGAAAATGACACACTTATCATGAAGGATTTCAAAAGTATTTTATTAGTTCTTGTAACGTACCAGAATGCACAGCAAGAGAAGTGGCAAAAACAACTGCTCTCTCAACAGGAAAAAATGGAAACCCAGAAGGAAAATCAAGAGACAGCTTGAATTTCAAAAGCAAGTTTTAGAACTGACAAGCCGTAGTAATCCCATCGAAAATAAATTTTCTTTTTGCAAAACACCATTTGGAGCACGATAGAGAATTTCTCATACACTCTTGAGGAAGACATAACCTTCATGTCATACTTTAGGAGATATGAGGACTTATATACTACAGATTGTGCAAATTGGAGTGACTTGAAAAAAGTATGTCTTCTTCTGAGGAAATTTGGCACAACTGAGCACGCAAAATTCATAAACTACATTCTACCCCGGAAGACGAGTGAATTGACATTCACCAAAGCAGTGGAATTACTCATGGAGCTTTTCAGTCCAAAGACATTTCTTTTCTATAACAGATGGAAATGTCTTAATCTAACTAGGAAAGAATGGGAAGACTACACCACTTTTGCGTCAATTGTAAACAAGCACTGCAATGTTTTTAGACTGGCAGAAATAAGTTTGAATAACTTCAAATGTTTGATATTCGTGCAAGAACTAGTTTCAACAAAAGATGCAGAAATTAAGTGAAGAATACTAAACAAATTGGATAATGAGCCAAATATAACTCTACAGCAGATCACTGAAGAATGTCAGAGGCACATCGGTGTAAAGCAGGATTCTAAAAATATCGAAGAATCCAATATTGCTCACATCAAAAAAAGTATGCTACAAACAGAAACAAACAAAGTCTCCTAAAACTAATGAAACAAAGAAAAGGCAAAAGAATTTTCCCCCTAACCTATGTTATGGATGTGGGGCCCTACACTGGTACAAAGATTGTATTTTCCGAAACAAAAAATGTTACATATGTAACCAAGTCGGACACAAAAGCTCCCATTGCCGATCTAAAAATAAAACCAGTATCTCCATAAAAAATACAAGGTTGGACAAACTAGACAGTGCTAATATCAGGAAATTTGTGCACGTAAAAATGTTAAACAAAAGTGTAGAATTTCAACAAAACTCAGGTTCTGATTTGACAATAATAAACTTGCAAATATGGAAAAGATTGAGTAAGCCAACGATGATAAAATCTAGCAAGATTGCAAGATCAGTAACAGTAAAATTGAAAATTGGAATACCGAAGCTGAAAAACTGAAAAAATAACTGAAGGAAGCCAATCCAGGAATCTTTTCTGGTGGGTTAGGCAGGTGTACCAAGATGATGGCAAAAGTTGAATTACAAGACAACGTCCAGCCAGTGTTCAAAAAGAAGCGAAATGTGCCTTTTGCCTCGTTGGAACAAATTAACCATGAACTTGACAGATTAGTAAAAACTGGTCTTCTATCAAAGGTAGAGTACAGCAAATGGGCCACACAACGGTCTATGTAAAAAGGAAATCGAAAGACATACGTGTTTGCGCTGATTTTCCGACAGGATTAAATGCTGTTCTGAAGGACTATCATTACCCTCTTCCTTGCCCGAAAGACATTTTTGCGAAGCTAAATGGGGTGGTCAATTTTTCTCAAAAATTGACCTTAGCAACGCATATTTGCAAATTCTGGTTGAAGAGGTGAGTTTAAAGCTATTGTGTATAAATACACATCGTAGACTATATAAATTCAAACATTTACTGTTCGGGGTCAAGGTCACACCAGCAATTTTCGAGCAAATCATGGATACTATGCCTAGCGGCCTTGACTTCTCAGTCACTTATTTAGATTTTTTTTTTTTTTTTTTTTTTTTAAGTGTTTCACCCCAAGCAAGGTGGGAAGCCACTAGGATGCAAGGGGTTACAGAAGATTTGGAGCAAGAACAGATAGGAGTGATAGAGGAAAGGATTAAGAGAAGGTTAGTGGATAGATCAAGGCAACTGGAGATGTCGATTGACATTACATTTGAATAGTTGGAGATTATAGCTATCAGGGAAACTGAAATAGGGAAGGGAATTCCACGGGTGAGAGGTGCGAGACATGAAGCTCTTGGAGTAGAAGAGACGGCTACATTTAGTAGTATCGCCAGTGAAAGGGATGCCAGCCTCGTAGGGCGCTTGAATTTATGAAGTCTGGGAACCAGCGAACGCAGCTCTTCGGAGCAATTACCATGAAAGTATTTGTAAAAAAGACAGAGAGGTGACGGTACGTCTGTGAGAGAGCGACTGTAGACGAGATGCCAGAACAGGGCCATTTATATTGCATATCCGCCTCTGGAGCTTATCAAGAACCCCGAGGCAAACAGAAGGGGCTCCAGACCATATATGGCAGCAATACTCCATGTGAGGGTGAATTGTTAATTTGTAGATCTGAAGGATTGATTCCAGGGAGAAAAATTTCCTGGCGTGGCACAGGGTGCCAACTTTCCTTGCTGTGAATGAAGCAATTGACTCAATGTATTTATTCCATCTCAGGTCAGCAGTCAACATGAGACCGAGCAGCCACAGAGAGGTGCTCTCAAGAAGTTGAGTGTCAGACATTCTAATGGAGGGCAGGGAAGGATCTCTGTGGTGATTAATAGAGAGCAGTTTTGTTTTTTGAGGCATTAAATTGACCAGCCAATTCCTGCCCCAGTTCACAACCGATTGGAGGTCCATTTCGAGATGCACAGCCAGGTTAGTTTTGTCAGCGACACTAGATTTGTTTTTGAGGCAGGAGTAAATTGTGGTGTCATCCACGTAGATGCCAACTTGGGAATTTATGGCGTCAGGAAGGTCATTTATGTAAATAAGGAATAGATTTGGGCCCAGGATGGAGCCTTGAGGAACACCTGTGTTCGTGGGATAGGAACTGGAGGAGAATCTGTTGAGAATGACCTTCAATTCATGGTTTAACGGGAATTATTGTATTAGGTCAAACAACCCGTAATGCTATAACCCTGGAGCTTGCGAAGAAGGCCGGCATGCCAAACCCTATCAAACGCTTTGGAGATGTCTAGGACCATGGCATGAGCTTCCCCGTTATTTTGAAGAGTTTGGTAGACAGTTTCAGTGATGGCTGTAAGCACATCAGCTGTAGATCGGGCAAAGCGGAAGCCGTACTGTTTGTCTGAGAGCAGATCATGGGATGTAAGGTGGTTAACCACTTCAGTATTGATTAGGGCTTTGAAGACTTTGCCGAAGAGGGGTAGGAGACTGATAGGATGGTAGTTAGAAGGGTCAGAGGAGTCACCAGAGTTCTTAAAGACAGGAACAATTGCAGCAGTCAGGAAAACAAGATTCCTTGAGGCAGTAGTTATATAGTTTAGAGAGGGTGGGCGCCAGTTCAGGCGCACATTTCTTCAAGACAATGGCTGGTATCTCGTCTCCACCACTAGCCTTGTTGGGGTCTAAATTGAAGATAATGCCCAATACCAAAGACGGGGTTATGAGTAACCCACTCAATAGGGCCTCAGTTCTAAGAGGGAAGTCGGGTATGGGTACACCGGAAGAGTCGAGTGTTGAGTTGAATGATAATTTCCGAGCAAAGCATTCAGCCTTGTCGGTAGAGGAGGTCAGGACTTCGAACTGGTTGAATAAAGGAGGTATAGAGGGTTTGCAATTGTTCAATACGCTCTTGCAGAGATGCCAATAATCTTTGAAGCTAAATTTGCGAGACGCAATACGCTCCTTCATTTGAGCAGCAAATAGTGACTTACCATCATTGAGGACACGCTTACACTCGTTACGGGCGGAGGCAAAAAGACGTCTATTGCAGTCCCACATGTCGGTACGAAATAGGTGAAAGAAGTGGTTCCTATGAGCAATGGCGGCTGAGCAAGCAGCGGAGAACCAAGGGGAGGAGTGCGATTTGACCCTATATTTCCTTGAGGGGATGAAAGCGTCGATTCCAGCTTTAACTCAGGATGAGACCTCAGAAGCACATTCTTGGACAGGGAGTGTAAAGACAACATCCCAGGGGACATCGCGGAGGAAATCACGGAACGAGTCCCAGTCAGCTCGTTGATAGTAGAACGAAGTTCTAGTGAAAGGAAGTTCTTTGCAGGGGGTGGAGTTGAAGATGTTAACAGATACTACAGCATGATCAGAGTTACCAAGAGGGCAGAGTTGTGTGGCGCTACAAGACTCGGGGATGGAGGTAAAACACAGATTGAGAAGAGAGGCCTTACCTTCCTGGTTGAAGGCAAAACGAGTGGGGAATTTAACTATCTGTGTGAGGGATTGAAAAACTGAAAAATTAAGTGTTTGAATGCCTGCGTGGTCAGTAGTAGCATTCTTAAGCCACTTGGAATGATGGGCGTTAAAGTCTCCAAACACAAAAATGTGAGCAAACGGGTGGAGGGAGAGAGCCTTGTCTATGTTGTCAGAAATGCTATCAAGTATCTCA